TGATTAAATGTGGTGGCTAAAAAAATTGCTTTTAAAATTAATGGGGAGAAAACTAACTGAGAAAAAGAATAGTTGATTGGAATTATTAAAATATTACATCTAATTTGAAATAGCACATTTTTGTAAGGAAACAAGTTAGCTCAGAATGAAAATGAGCACTATATTGTCAAAACATAAAAACAAATTTTTACATTATTATTCTTTTTTTTTTTTAGTATACTTAATGGTTCTTTTCAATGAAATAAATAAAAAAGAAAAATAGTCTTTAGAGTCCCATCTAATTGCAAAGAAGCAAGAGTCTTGGATTAAATAATGGTTTAGCCATTATGTCAGCAGTTTGCTCCTCTATAGGTATCTGCTGCAGAATTATTTGCTTTTACAGAACTTCCTTTCTAATGAAAAAGTGTTTGATATTCGTGTATTTCATATGTCAACAAAACTTTGAGTTTTTTGACAGTCTGACAGGTGTTATCTAGTTTTTTTGAACATTGCATAACTTGGTAACATCACCATATAGTAATTTTGACCAAATGACTAATGCATTTACTAGCTGAAATCATCTCTGATTCAGTTTTCAAAGCTGCAGTAAATAATTTGCCTTTGAATAATACATATAGCACACCACTATATTATAAAACTTCACCACTTGTAGATTTTGCTCTCTGTATTAAATTCTCCCGACATCCTCCAAAATCAGCATCACAATAGCACTTCAGTATTCCTGGTTTGTATATGTTTTTGTATATGATGCTTTTAATAAAAGAACCTGCCATATATTTGAATACATGCTTCATTTTGATCCATTCATCTTTTGAAGGATTTTAAAGGCAACATGAAAAAAATGCCACTCTCTTTCACTCTTTCACTTGGCCAAAAGTGGAAAAATACTGATCTTTGGCCTTCATTTCTTTTGGATGCTTTTAGTCATCCCTCTTGAAGATAGATCTGATCTGCCGAAACTTTCCATAAATTGCTGATAACATTATAGCAACCTGATAAGATTATAGTGAATTTCTCTTCCATCCTGAGTTTTGGATTATCCTGCATTCAGTCTGCCAATGATTCTGCACTTCATTCCATCATCTAAGCATTGGTGACTATTTATTCTACTAGTTTGCTTATAAAATTAATACTTGCTTAATAAAATTTTACAAACACTGTTATTATCTCCAGTATGAGCAAGTAAGATGAGAGTGAAACAATAATGCTGTCGTAACGTCTACACATGTATGAATATAATTATCTGTTTGATACCAGTATTACATTATTATTTTACTACCTACTTTTCAGGTTTGGCTCAGTATTTCATACTAATTCAAATAAAGTTTGTTTACTTAATTTGTGATACCAATGTATTAATGATGTAATTAAAACTTTCTTTGTTTCCACATTTTGCTTTCTAAAACAATAAGATTCTCTTTCTAAAAGTATAATATGTGATTTCAAGTATCTGTATTTATGTATGGTTGTTTCAGATTATCCACATTCCTACCGTAAAGCTGCAAAATAGTATTGAGGCAACACACCATATCATTAACAGTATTTATGTGGCAATCCATGATGTCTTCCAAAAATATTTCTATGTTGTCCCAAGTATGCATGTGGCATACCCGCAGACAGCTTTCCACTTACCTAGACATTTTTGCTAGTGTGACTGCAGATTATGATCCCTCCTATGGAAATTTTAGTATTGTGGTAGACTGCATACCACAGTTTTTGCCATCTTAGTGGGGCATTCTAGGTGGCATTAGCTACGTGGGGCTTTCTGTGCATGTAGAACGTAATATAGCTCAGTTAAAGGCATCATGTGGCGCTTTCTTCTTTCTCATTTTGGATTTTTGCTGCCAAAGCTGTGCGTGATGCTGTGTTTGTGCTTTTTTCCCCTCTCTCTCTCTCCATTGAAAACAAATTGCTGTGTGCATGGGAAGAACAACAATTCTCCTTAAAAGAAAGGTATGCATGTCTTAGAATGGAAAAAAAAAAAAAAAAAAAGAAGCACTTTATACATTGTTGAAATAATGTAAAAGATACCCAAATAAACATTTCTCCGAAATTGCCAGTGAGTTCGGGATTTTTTGGTAGGGAACTCAGAAGATCAGAAAGTACCTTGCTCACACCCAAAAATTTTCATTTCTTTCTGTCATTCAGAATCTCAAGATTTTTTCGGATGAAAACATTTTGCTATTTTATCTTATAAGATGCTAATATTGCTTGTTTATATTTGAGAGTTATTAAAGATTTACTATTTGTCGATGTCATCAACAATATTCTGTAATTTTGCTCTTATAAAAGTTTTTATTTTGATTATGGAATTTGAATAAAAGTTAACAACAGTCTAAATAATATGAATAAAAAAATATAATTTTATGTTTTTCTTTTCATTGTTTCTTAATTATTTACACATAAAGCATGCCATGCACATCTATATGGTTAAAGTCAGTAATCAAACCTGGTTAAGAGATAGTTTAAATTTACCTGTCTAACTTTGTGTGTAAAAATATCTTTAAATTATTCAGAATTATGTATTTCAATATATGAAATTCTAATGTCCATCACTTTTTTAAATGTTTCAGAAGGTGGTCAAATTCTTCGATGTGATATTGTCATTGATTCGTTACATTCTATTGAAATAGTCACAACAACACGAGTTTTATTCCTTGAAGATGCTCCTGAAGTTTTTGAAGTTATGGCTAAAAATGACCAAGGTTGGAGTAATCGTTTTTGTCATATTCTGTCAGTTTAGTTTTTTTTAAGTATATTGTTCCATTACAAAATGAAAAATACTAAGCTAACCCATCCATCTAAATTAAAATATGTTGTTTTTATATTATTATTTATTATATATTTTATATTTTCCTGAGAGGGATTTGCATTGACATATTTTTTTTCATAAATTGTTGTGCAATCTTTAATGTGGTCAATGCTAAGGTTGTGCTGATTAAACATTGTATAATTTATATTATACATTGTTGTTAGGATTGCCACCATGCAGTTTGATTTCATGCCAGTGGTTATGTTTGATGCTAAGTAATGCATCGTTAACAGAAAAGTACTGAAAATAATTTATGTATCATATATAAAAAATATTATTCCCATGTTTAAACTAATACTATAAATCAATTACAGGGGATACATTTTCGAGTTTGGGAGGCGTTGCTTTTCAGTGGTCATTGGAAAGTGATTCTTCTGCCAGTGATGCGTATGGTGTCTTACGGTATGTGTGTGTGTGTGTGTGTATATATATATAAGCTTAATATGATATAAAATTTGCACTACATTCGCTTTATTGTAAAATTTTATTTGTCACTCATTTAATATAATATCTTATATACGAGGGCTGTTCAGAAAGTATCGAGACTGAATTTATCCTATTTATTCCAGAAAACTCCTAGCGATGGGACAGTGCGCATGATGCACGCATGTTTCACTCGTTTCACAAAAACGGCAGGCTGTACAGGGCTGTTCAGTTGCGACTTCTTTTCTGTATCATAATTATTGCGGCGTTCATCGAAACTCGAAAAGTCTGAAAACACGGAGCAGCAATCTGTATCAATTTTTGCTTAAGTTCGGTAAAACAGGCACTGAAACCTACGGATATGAAAACAGCATTTGAAATAAGCGATGAGTCTTGCTGGATTTCGAGTGGTTCCGGCAAGGAGGGCGGGGTCGGAATGAGTGGACGTGATCCAGTTCTGGACGCCCATCCCCTCTTCGCATGAGGAAAGATTGCACAGTGCAGGCTGTGGTGCGCTCTGATCGTCGTTTAACAGTCTGAGAAACTGCCTAGGAGTGCGGCGTTTCCATACAATCATGTGATGAAATTTTGAGAAAGGACTGCAAAGCTCCTCACTGAGGATCTTATTTCCAATGATGCAACTTATCTAATTGTTTTGAAGTGCAAGCGATAATCTGAGTTCATTGAAGCGCATCATCACTGGGTGAGTCATGGATTTCGGATATGATCCCGAAACAAGCAGCTCTCACAAGGAAAACCTCGGTCTCCTGCAAAGAAGTACGGCAGTTGCGAGCCAGTCAAAGTCATGTTGTTGTGTGTTTCGAGGTAGGAATTGTTCTCATGAGTACGCTCCCAAGGACCAGTAGTAACAAGAATTCTACTGGATGTCATGAATAGAGAGGTGTTCGCAGAAAACGACCTGTGTGTGGCCATCCTCTCACTGGATGCTTCATCATATAGGCCCCACACACAACAGCAATCTTGGCAGTCCTGGCAAAACCGAACCAATTCTAGTAGCACATCCTTCCTACTCGCCGGGCTGTCACTCCAAATTCTTCCTTCCCAAGATCAAGAAATCTTAAAAGGATACCGTTTCAACATTGACATAAACAGAATTTCATGCAGCAGCTTCAGGCATCCCAAAGTGAGTTCCAGAATATCGAGGACTGGAAAAATCGTTGGGCCAAATGTGTTACTGCCAATGGAGCATATTTTGAAGGAGATTGACTCAAAACCTGTTTTGCATAATAAATTCAGTATCGATACTTTCTGAACAGCCCTCGTATTCTGGCTAGTATTTACTTCCTTATAAGTTGTTTATTGTAACTATGTTTATTTGTTAGAGTAAAGAGGAGTAAAATGTTTATAATTCTGAATAGCTTTAATTTAATATTGAGCACTGCCTGTTTAATATGTAATTGCTTATAAATAAATAAACTGTTTGTTATCTGTTACATTTGTTAGTGTGCCTTGTATGTAAAGTTTAAATTATATGTATAATTTGGCTGTTGAAGACATGAAGGTGTATAACGTTGTTGCAATCATGTCCAGTATTGGTTTTATGCATGGATATTTTTAATGGAACATTGACAAAATGTTCCTGTGCTTCAAGAAATGTTTGTTTATATCCAAAGAAAATGCAGCAGTAGGTGGCAAATAAGTTGGAGAAGGAATATGACAGGTCTTAGACAAAAGCGCAGTCAGAGTAATTTAATTACTTTGTTCTATAAAGTTTTAATTCTCAAATTTGAAATCATTATTGGCTGAAGCCTTATGTAAATATCTGCATCATCAGTGCTTTACTAGAATTATGACAGATTAATTTTGAAGTGTAATGCAGAGCAATTTATTAAAAGCAATTACTGTTTTTATGATGAAAAGGGGAAATAATCAAATCAAAGGAGAAAGTTGAGGGATTACTGCAAATCCACACTGTAATGTTTATTTAGACATTTTTTGTCTTACGTATTCCCCTCCCCACCCCCTTTCAAAGAGGAAAAAATTCTGATGTGGACACCACATGACTTTCTTGTACGGCCTATTAAATTATGTATATTTTTGGCTGCATTTCATTTAAAGTTATTTCTAGAATTTTATTAGAGGTATAGTTCTCGTTCAATTAATTCAGTTCTCACTTCACGAGAAGGCAAAAATACATAAAAACGCAAAACATCTTTTTTAAAAACTGTAAAATACAGAAATATATAAAACACAAAATACTGTTAAAAATAGTTTAAAAAAAGAAACATTTTTTGCAATTAAATTTAGAGTTTCTGCCAACACATGCACACACAAAAGCAATTTGGCCAGTGAGATTTTTTAATGCACAAAACTGAAAGTTACCTTTTGATTCCACTTGGCAAAAAGACACTGAAAGTGCAGAAAATAACTTAATTCACTATTCGCCCAAGTTTCAAATGTAAACAAATTTCAGCTCTGTTAGGCTTTTTAACACTCAACAACTTTTAAATTTTTTATAATTCTACAACTGCTATATGCATATTAACTAAAGGCATAAAAACTTTAATTGGAACATAAGAGCAACATAATTTGATCACTTTTAAAGCAAAAAAGGGCACAATTTACCAACATATAAGAATAAAAACTGAGCTCATCGAGCCTGGTAACAGAGTGGGTATATATGTATATTTATATACTTTTCATGCGGCCGATTCCACCTAAAAAGGGAGATTCAAAACTACATATTATAGATATTCATGTCATGGATGGATCATGCCATGGAGATTCAAAACCATATACAAAATTTCAACTTTCTGAGGCTACTCATTTTTGAGTTATGTGAGATACCTACATACGTAAGTACAGACATCACAAAAAACTCTTGAATCCGTTTTACAATCATTTTGGAGAAAAAGAGTTCTTTATTCTGTCCTTATGTTCAAATATTGTGCAAAATCATCGTTAAATTGCATTGGATAGCGGACAAAATGAATATTTTCGTTGAAATGCGATACCCGAAATTTTTTATGATTGCAGTACTTCCTTTTTTTTGTACAAGGAAGTAAAAAGGGCTTAGCAACAAAAAGCCTTTCAGAGAAAAAGGGCTACAGCAGTAAAAAATTAGGAGAAATATTATATGCAAACATAAATCACGAAATTTTGAGCTAAAAATAATTTGTTAATAATTGTAGAATATATTCAGCATTGCATTTAAAAAAATTAGCACAAATTTTTAGAGAGTACCTGCGTGTGAATTACAAACACTAGTCAATGTGGCAAACTTTGGCAACCATTTTTGTATGCATTCTTTTTGTTGTATTCCAAATTCCAATGATTTTTATAAACAAATTGCAATATTTTTTCTCCTGAACTTAATTTTAAAATATGCACTTATGCAATTTATCGGCAGTGGTAGAAAGTGCATTAAAATTTCCGCAGAAATACAGAATTTTACCCCCGGAAGGCAACGTTGAGGATGTGGGTTGAGCAGATAGCTGGTTTTTTCCAGGTTTATACGATGCTGAGTCTATGCAATTCTCTGATATTTTTTTTTAAAGCAAAAATAGATCGCTTTATACTTGAGAAGAGTAATGCAAAAAAATTATTGAAAGATTTGGAGATGAACTCAAGTGTTTTATTTTTTTAATGTATCATGTATTCCTTTTTTTAATAATTTAAATTTCTAAATTGTGTTTAATTTTGATATGTTCATAATGTTTAATATAAGATAAATATTGATAAATTGGGAAATTTTTTTAAATAAGTCACGATAGCTACCAACTTGCCTCCAATAATTAACTTAATTTTGTAAAAAATCTCCAAATTTCACCAGAGTGTTTTCATTAATACATAAGTACCTCTTGGGGTCCTATTGAAATTTCTATTGTTTAAAAATGTCTTTGTTTCTTAAAAGTTTAAGGTATAACCATGCTTCTTCAAGGAAGGCTTTAGCTTCTCAAAGAAACAAAACGTTTTTGTATAGCCATCAACATTTTGATACATTGCAACAAATCAAAAAAATTGTTAATATTTTTCAAAATTATAATTTAATTTTTAATGTTATAAATATTGTAATAGTTTATTAATTTTTTCACTTTCATTTCTGGGTCTTGAACAAATTGAAGGCTCCACAATTATCTCAAAGCAAACCGTTTCCGTTTAAAACACGGTATATCCTTGCTGACTACTAAGTTACTGCAACAGTTGTTAATGGTTCTTTAGCAGTTGCTTGAAAAGGTCTGTGTTCTTTGCATAAGGTTAATGGCCTTTGAGAATTATTTAAAAGAAAATCTCTCACCAATATATATCATTTTCATTCTTAAAAAATGGTAGTAAAATAAATTCCTGTAATTCTGAGCCGCTATTCCCTATGATATTCTCTTCTTTAAATCGGGAGTTGGCAAACTATGGCCCACAGGCCAAATTTAGCCCATGGGATGGTATTGTTTTTTACATGAAAAATAAATTAAATTTTGCACTATTATGCATATTCTCATGTTTTGTTATTATTTTTAAAATCACTCCCGAACAAGTGAATATCTGTGTGTTGACGATTTTGTTATAGCATTGTACGTTTTATCATCTGTTGAGGTACTCTGTGCGATATTTTTATTCTTTTTATTATGTTTTGTTCATTATCTACCATTACTATGTCATGTATCAAATAAGAAGAGAAAAGTAGACTTCGTATGTCATTCATTTAAAGCAGAATGGAGTGCCAAGCATTTTGTCATAAATGACGGAGTTTTACGTTTAATATGCAATGATATAATAGCTGTATGAAAAGAGTACAATGTATGTTGTCATTACCAAACACACACTAAGCACGTAACACAGTATTCAAACCTCACAAAAAATTAACAGACATTAAAATTGGAAAGTTTGAAACAGAGTGCATCATCACAAATGCAGTTTATTCATAAAAAAAAAAATAAATAAAAAATTATAATGAAGAAGTAACTCGGCTTAGGTGTAGCTCATTTATTAGGCACGGAAGGAAAACCATTTACTGATGGTGA